AGGGTTGGAGCGCGCGGCGGCAGCGGTAGCGGTGGCGGACAGACAGACTGCGGACCGACGCACGGACCCAAGGATTCTCGAGCTTGGGAGCTGGCGGCAGTGCTGTGCGCGCCGCCTGGCCTGAAGGGTGGGCCACCTTGCCATGTCGCTCGGCGTCTTCTGAACTAGGAAAGCCCGAGGATGTCCGCTCTGAGGAAGGTGCGAGACGCGCGGGGCCGCGGGGACTGGGATGCGGGGACCTGGCGCTCAGTGGCGAGAGCCGTCGGGGCAGGGAGGGGGCGGTACTGCAAGAACGACCCGCGTTGGCCCTGACTAGGCGGCTGCGTTGCAGGGTTGGAGGCTACTAGGAACATGCTCTGGGAGTGGGTGATAACCTTAGGGGCGGCCAGTGCTCCGGTGTCCGCCGCTGGGGTCCTTCCGGGCTGCAGAGCCCCGTGGCAGGGTGGCTGGCGCACGGGCTCCCCGGGTACAGGAGCGAGGCGGAGGTGTGAAATTCCCCGCTTGGCGAGGCCGGGTAAGGGGGTGCAGCCTGGGGCGCTGGTCAGAGAGGGGTTGGTGGGACAATGGGGAGCGACCCGTGTCCCCCCTCCCCCAAGCCCAGGTGGCCACCGGGACTCAGACAGGGAATGAATGCAAGGCGCCTGGAGCCGGCGTTACCGGGCGCTGGGGTCGCGAAGGCGGGGAGGGGCCACTTTGCTGCAGCCGTCGCGATGAGCAGGGCCTGGGCCTAGGGGTTGGGAGGGGGGGATAGCCGCTGCTGGGCTCTCCAAGTGCGAGCCGGAGAGCACGGGGGCTTTTTTAGGGGTGGTTGCTAAGCGAAGCGCTACCCAGCGCAGGGTTTTGTAACTAAGCCTCCCCCGGCAGCTGCTGTTGCTGTTCTCGGGCTCTTTTCCCTAACGTTCGCAGAAGAAATAATGAGGATGTAATTATTACAGCCCTGCGCGGCGAAGGGGTGGGGGGCGGTAGGCACCGGCTCCTCTGCTCGGTGCCGGCCAGGTGGGGCCGGGCGGGCAGGGCATTCCTCTCCCACCCTCCTGGGTGGCTGGAGGTGCTCGGCTGGGACCCGAGACAGGGGCTGGGGCTCTATACCAAGTTAGAAGAGGTGGGCAAGGGCAGCAGGCGGCGTCTAGGCGGGTGCCGAGTGTCGCAGGTGGAGGGGAACCCGGAGCGCCGCGGCTGCTTAGCGATTCGCACCCGAAACTCATAACACCCTGTGTGGCGCTCCTACACTTCGGGAATGTGATGCCAGCCGCCCGCAGGTCGCTTGTCTTTCAAACGGATGTCGATTCCGGCCCGGGTCGAAATCCAAATGCGTGACTGACTTAATCAGCATCCGCTATGTTGTATTGATGAGAAAAGAAAGCAAGGGACAGCGAATTCGCCCGCGGTGTTGATGAACTCTGCTACACCAGGCTGTAGGCGTTTCAGGGCTGGAGATTAAAGCGCAGCAGTTCTTCCTGGCGCCTCGTACTCGGAGGCGGGAGGGAGCTATCTGGTCTAGGAGCCTTGGGATTGCTGTTAGTGGTCAGTGTGGGCACATCAGCCTGCAACCTTGAGATCTGACCGTTACCTTGGATCCCAGTCACCTATGTTTTACAGAAGTGTCTTATTGTACAGTCCACGAACTAGTTGCATTTGTAATGAGGAAACACCCTGGAGTCTCGAGGTGGTCCAAAGTAGTCCACGACCTGTTCAGGGCAGTGTACAAGTCTGAAGCTGACTTGCTTAGTTCAATCTCCCCAAGAATATATAGACTTACAGTTAAAGGGCATTATAACACGATTTTCATCGTCATATTCTCTGTGGGAGGTGCTACATAGCCAAGACCAAAACAAACAAACAAGCAAGCAAACAAAAAACCACCACCAACAAAAAATAACTCACAAACCAAACCAAACCAAAAAACAAAACAAAAAAACCCAAAAACCCCAACTGGTGATATGATGAAAAAAATAATAATTTTTGGCAGGTCAGGTTGTTACTCTGTTGTTTAAAAAAATGCCATTAATCAGGATTTTCCAGTAGCCAAATTGTCTTGTGCAGGCTGTTGGATGACTCACACAGCGTTGGCTTCCATGGTAATTGTAGAGTGTGCATACCACTTCCTTTTAGATGATGTGACTTTTTCATTACTTAGAAGAGAACAAATTAGAATATTTTATGCCCCACATCTGGCAACGGCTGGCAGGCCACAGGGAGTCCTCTGCTCCAACACATCTGGGTTGGGAGGAATATATGCCTGGTGGAAGAAGATGGCTGTGGTCCCAGCGAGGGCGCTTCCTCTCCGAGCTCTGCATGAGGATGACCTAGCGGATGTGGGGTTTATTCTCCAAGATGACCTGTGATGAGCTAGCTGTGCCACCTCCCTTCTGAAACCACCTCTTCCGTGGTCGGCTGAGTCAGTAGGCCTCCTGTTCCTGCTCTGACCTGTAAACACCTTGTATTTTAGGCCAAAGGGCAATACACCAAATGGTGCCTACGCCAGATAACCCAAAGGAACGTGATTAAAATTATCCCCTCCCTCCGGAACTTTGGTCTTCCTTCGAGAACCCTTCCAGGCTGAGCAGTGTGGATCATTGTTCCCTTTGCTGCCATCGGCCTTCTGCAGCCACGGTGGCATTAGCCTTGCCTGGTGGTGTTCCTGGCTGAGGCAGGAGGCTCATCTGCAGAAGCCTGTTGTGCTGTGCCCAAGCTAGGGGACATGGGATTCAGGTAGGTAGTGGCAGTTGATGTTTCTCCAGGGTGATGTCAGTGTGCTCCTCTAGGGTGGCAATCTGTTGCTTCTCCTATTTTTGTCTACCTCATTTTTGACAGTGATAGAAATTCCAAATTGAAATAGAAACAGAAACCCGCTTCTTAGATTTTAATTTCATGTATCAAGAACATGGTCAATGACAAAACTAAAAAGTTTCTAGTATTTTATTGTTATAAAAATTTTTTAATGCCATAATATTCTTTTATAATTACATTTGAGGGAAACCCCCCATCTCAGTTGCCCAAGGAGTAGAATGATGCACACTTGGATTATAGAATTTATGAGGAAATTAATTAAATATTATTTATTGACCCTTGGAATGGATATGCCATGATCATGCATTGGCTACAATAAAAATAGCCGTGATTCATCATTTTGGCCAGATGGAAGTCATATTTAGAGCATTGCAGTATGTTGGCTATAAAAGAATTAGAGCCTTACCACACAGGAAGTTAGTGGGCAAAACATTCTATGCAGTTAAAATTGCTCTTAATCCACCATAGTTTTAACCAGCCTTTGATTTCCATTTTCTAAGTCATTGCATTTTATTGGCACCTACTGAAATATGTTTAGTTGCAGGTCCTTGTGTGTGGAAATCTCGAGTGTGACAATTCGCTTGCATTCCTAACAAGCATTCCAGGTTTTCAGGAGGCCAAGTGTCTGGGCTCCGGTCCTGATGAAGTGTGGGATTGTGGGTTCCCGTGCTGGTGTAAATCCTGCAGCTTCCCTTGCCCTTGGTCAACTCTGCCTTCCAGGACTTCAGAGCAGTGGCAGATAATATATTTGGTTCTTAATTAATCTCTTTGGCAAAGGCAATGGGAATTAACCTGCTGATTTTCCTTGATCCTGCCATTTTCTCTGAAAACGAGAAGTCATCTCCATTAGTAACTCAGGGTTAATTCTTCTTCTTCTTCTTCTTCTTCTTCTTCTTCTTCTTCTTCTTCTT